CCACCGCCAATGGGGACGGAACCATCCATCAGGACCTTCATACCCTGCGGCCTGAAGCCGGGGCCGCGCTTGCGGCGCAGGAGCTCGAGAGCGCCGCGGAGACCGCTCCTGAAGTAGTTGGACCACTCATGGACCTTGGCGTCGATGGTCACATCACCGTTGATGTCGACTTCGAAGGTGCGGGCGGGGAACCTGTCGCCTTGGAGGTTTGCGACTTGGAGCTTGAAGGTGGACGAGTCGGAGGGAGTTTCGTCGACGGAGACGGCGAGGATGGCGTCGGCGGTGATAGCCATAGGCAGGACGGAGTAGAGGGAGTAGTCGATGTGCTCGCCGATGATGTTCACGCGACCCGGAGAGCGGGCGACGAAGGTGGCGGGGTGGCCGTATTGCACCTTGAACTGGTCAAGCAGCGCGTTCCAGCGCTTCGTCTGGACGGGGAGGGCATCTTCGGTGTAGACGTCGGCGAGGGACGACGCGGTGGGGACGGGGCCGGCCATGGTGGGCGATGTCTGCGCTCTCTTGGGTATTGGGTGCTTCGGAGGGCTTCCGTGGGTGCTGGCAAAAGTAAAGGACGCAAAAGACTCGAGGAAGGGAAAGGAGAAAAGAGGACAGAAGAGGTGTGTATTGTGAGCGAGGTGTGGTTCAGTTATGACGTTTGGGGTTCGGTCCTTTTGGGAGCTGGGAGGCAGGTGGTGGGGTGGGACTCGTCCAGGTTCAGGTCGTCCGCCGTATTAACCCCGCGATGGAGCTTTGGTGTTTTTCTGGCGCGTGCCCGTGGTTGCTGCGGGTGTTGAGCTGCTTCTGCTCTGGCGGGTTTGGACGTGGTGGGACACTGGAGTGCTGGAGAATGGAGTGCTGGAGCTGAAGCAGTTACCCCGCAATTGCCCCTCGTTGGCGATTTCGTCTGAAGAAACAGCGAGGAGCTGTCTGAAGTGTTCCAGTTGGCTGCATCAATGCGCCAAGTCACAGAATGCAATTGAGTTTTGAGGAGCACATCCTGGATTCTTCGAGGGGATTTTTAACAGCTATCATGAAAAGCCCACAAAGGCGTCGCGCAACAAATTGAGAAATTAGGTGAAGAATCAGGTCAAGCGCAAAACAGATGCGGTACCTCGGGAGCGCATAGCAACTAGCGCATCTCGTCACTCGGTGCATTTGGACCCCACCTCGGCCGATGATTCCACCGTATCGAAAGCCAACCGTTACCTGTTCTTCTCTCTTTCCCGTTCCTTCTCGCCCGTTCTTTCAAGCGCCGTTGTTCGTGTCGCGTGGCCGAAGCAGACCACCATACCTATCACATCTCGAGGGACAACAAATGCGCTGACTTTGTCTGGGCAAACTCACTCGCTCGCCACCTCCCGGGCGCAACAGCAAGTACTGAGGAGCACTGCGGGCCGGTTCGGAAAACTGGCGGAGAACTCAGTGACCCCGGCCCTCAGCGTCGTCACCTCGGATTGAAGCCAGAGAGTTGTCTATCGACTGCGTGTAAATCCAGTAAACCATGGGTCCGTCGAAAAGAATTTGCGATATTTAGATGCTTGCGCTAGCTACTGCCCCAAGCCTACACATCACATGTTCTGGAACGCCAACAGAAGAAACGCAGGGGAGTCGCCAAGGCGCACCAGTGGGGTGACTGCAAGCCATCACGTCGGCCGCGCCGGGTTCCAGGGTATTCCCAACCTACCGCGGGGATCTCGGGGGCGAGAGACATCCCACACCAAAAATGGCGGGGCAGCTGTGGCCACCTGGGCTGCGAGGAACCACACTCATGTTGAATAGACCACGCTCGTCTCTCGATATCACGGCGATATATCGATGAACTAAATGAATGGCCAGCATGGATTATGATGAAGGCAGACTTCTGGTACTCAGTGATTACCACTGAACCCTGCTTATGATCAGTGGTTTAGCCCCCTATGGATTCGACCTGCTCGTGGGAGACCCTCCTGCATCCAGCAAAAACACATCCGTGAAATGACTATCAAAAGAAGGCCAACGGAATGATCTTAGGAGAACCCAGGTTTATACTGAAGACATTCAGTGTGCTATAATGACTTCTAATCTCAAAGAGAGAAAGAAAAAACAGAGAAACAAAAAAAAGGAACCACCCTTTTAATTCGAGGCCCTCACGTGTGATTCGAACGAGCGCCCCCCTCAGACTCAGATTGCATCTCTAGAGAGGAATTTGTTAAGCCGTGCTTTTACCAACTAGGCCACTTGCGTGATATCCTAGCCGAACTGATGACAGAAGACCAGACGAAAGTTCATTAAGTAGCTTCCACTGAGTTGGATGGTTGCCTGGAGCTTGAGGCGGAAGGCTTACCGCGGAAGGAGCACGTGGAATCCCTCCAGTGGTCACCGAGCTGATCGGGTTGTCTACAGGAGACGAATTAGGAGCGGAAACCTCAACTGATTATCAGTTGTCAATGGATGGTGTAGTCAATATCCCGCCTTCATGTTCACAACCGGCTGGGTCTTCCCAGGATGGTTATCTCAGCACCGTAAGTAGTTAGCATCTTCAAAGCCCATGCTCAACCACGATTCACTCGCGGCAAACGTGAATACTTAAGAAGGGATGTCGAGTTTGGCGTGGTATCTTGTAGGTCGGTCGGCCTATGTTAAGCGTTGGGGGAAGGTGCTGCACTACGACTTCCTTCCCAAAGCTTTTCAATCTGAAGGTGCAGCTTTGAAGGAACCTCACCTTGTCCTTAGCCCTGCCCTCCAGCCTTTCGCCCTGAAAATATCCTGCCCTGCAACACAAATTTGTCCCCAAACCAAAACTTCTTCTCCGGAAAACTTCGATCGTCCTGCTACTCGTCTCTTCGTCTCCCCTTCCACAATTTAATCTCTCAGCCCATCCCAAGACGTTCAATCCGACCTCAATAACGACCCAATCGCCCTTCCAGCACCCCACCCTTCCGGCACTTCATCTTTTCACTTCTTTTTGACCCTTTTCTTCATATACTTTCATCATATTCTTTTCGTCCAACCAGCCAAGATGGGACTCAGAACCAAAGTTCCCGCAGGCCCGTACACCCCCGAAACCCACCCCCAGATGCGCATGCCTTCCCTCCAAGTCGGCTCCCTCTATATCATGATCTCCGTCCCGCTCCCCATATACCTCGGCCGCCAGAAACACAGCTACCCAACCGCAGTCCCCTCGTCACCTGGCTTCCCTCACGGCACGTACGAGCTCGACGTCACGAGCGGCGCGTATCCTGAAGAGTTCCACTGGGACCTCTACCTCCACACCTCCTCGACCCCTGACGGCGGCAGCGGCATAATCTACCGCCTGCGCAACATCGGCACCCATCCGCCTGCATACGAGTACGACCGCATCCCGACCTTCCGCGTCCTTACCCACTCCCAGCTTATCGGTCTCGTCCGCGTCATCAGCGTGCCCCGGAGCGTCGTCCCGCACCTGACCCGCTACATCGAGTGGATGACAGAGGACACCGCCAAGATCGCGCAGAGAAGCTTCGTTTGGGCAACCATGGCCTACTACCGCACACGTCTTCACCTTGCGAAGGCGATGGGTATTCGAGACCACACATTCAATCAGTTCGACATCTCGCGCTTCACGTCGGAGCTGCTTTCGTTCGCATACGGAGAGGTGCCGGAGGTGCTTCTGGGCGCTGAGCCTGGGCCCAGGCCGGTTATTAATTCGTGGATGGGAGCCGCTATCGACTTTCTGGAGGACGACGACGCTCTGGCTACGCGTCGGAAGAGGGACGAGCTTATGGGGTTGCAGAAGGAGAGATTCGGTGCCGTTTCAGCGTGTTGGTACCAGTGAAGTTCGGCTTGGATTCGATGATGGAGCTTCCCGGGCTGGACCCGCTTGGAGTCGGACAATTGGAGAGACCTGGAGAGACTTTTGGTAAGTTCAGCTTTGTCCTTGCGAGCTCTGCTTGGAGTGTGGACGCACTTACTAACGGACATCTGTAGATATTGAGTATCCATATCGGATGAAGCGAGGAAACGTCTTCGGGATCGAAAGGCCGAGAGAGGTGGGTGTCTGCAAAGCAGCATACGTGGAGGGTATACTGTACTTTACGGGAGGTCGTCTGGTACAATGCCTCCGGCTTGGGCCACTTGGATGCTGGTCATCGTGAAGGCTTCTGGGCAGGGAGTCTCGAGGGTCCGCGGCATGTGCGCAGCGGGACGGCGTACTTTTTATTCATTAGCAAACAGCACAATACAAATAGCATCATGAACACTTGTTCTTCTTCGGCCAGTGAGGTTCGGAGATGCGGCCGGGGTAGTCCTGACTTCCCAACCTCGATGAAGAGAGCCGTTGGAGGGGATCCGTAGATATCTCGACGACAACCGCCTGGAAGGTCTCTTGGCGGTTCCCATCTCCTCTCGCGGTCAAGCAGACCATCGACTCCCATCGGGTAAACGTTGAAAGGCTCTCTGGCCAACGCAAGAAAAGGTTTCAGCTCCAAAGACAGCACAAGCTTTCGGAGGACCCATTATCATTGCGGGTGCGACTCCCAGACCCTCAGCGAATGTCGAGGTCGATCCCCCTTCCACGGCCCGAACCGCAGCGCCGCAGCAAACAGAAAGCAAACGCTGAACCCAATCGCAGCAGCTTCGTGGAGCAAATGCTTTCTTTTTCACCCTGTCACTTGTTCTACTCGGCGGTGAACGGTAAGTCATGCCCAGCTATCTGCATAGCGCACCTGATCCAACCTGCGCAAGAATGAGCAAGTTTTCCCAACACCCCTCACCAGCAGCCCACACACACGCCGTCGGGTAGAAAACCACGACCATCCGCCCCCCGGGACGCGCCCAGAGCCCCCATGCGGCTTTTCATCACGCAACGAGCAGATTTGAGTGCAATCGCTTTGTGTTTTGATAGAAGCTCCTCCCATTTTCTATCCCAAAAGATGACGCTGACACGGACACCGAGCGTCGTGGCGTCGACGGCCACGACCTATTGGCTTTTCCTTCTCCGACCGGTGTAATCAGCAGAAGAAAACCATATTATGCGAGTTACGATGCCGACGAGGACACGGCTGCCGGTGGTGCTGCTCCTGTGCCTTGAGTCCGTGGTGGTCCTCGGCGCCCTGGCGCTCTTCGGCATCGCGTACCCCGACCGCTTCCGCTCGCGGCTGTGGCGGAACGGCGGCGAGGAGGGGTGGTGCTCGAACCCGCGACTGCGAATATATTTTTACGCAAACTACGAGGAACCGCCTGAGATACCCCTCATATGGAGCCAACGGTGAGTCTTTTCTTCCCCGTGATGTGTCGTTGCCGCATGTAAGCTGACCCTCGAGGTTTCCCGCAGCCTCACAACCTCCAACGCCGCGACAGCCGTCCTCTCCCTCGCCGTCCTCTTCGTCCGCATCACGATCGCCGCCCTCCACTACGACGCTCGCTGGACGAACACCGCCTACGACGCCGTCCTCGCGGGCCTGTGGGCGTGGAGTGCCGCAGCGCAGGGCGGTGCAGATCTGACGGACCCGGAGCACCTGATGCCGCGGCCGTGGTACCTCGTGCGCGGCTGCGAGAAGGCGTGGAGGGGGAACAGGACGTGGTGTAGGGTTGCAAAGTGGGAGTATGGGTGGGCGATAATGGCTGCGTACGTTTTGTTTCGGCTTCGTGGAGTCGAGACTGGAAAGTGCTGACAACGTCGGTAGGATATTCTACATTGCGAAGATTGTCGGGACGGCGGGGTGGATGGTGTACGAGAAGGGTAAGAGGGATGCGTCTCGGGAGGAAGATCTGACGAAGATCTGGAGGAGGGAGGGGGGAGGGTCGTACAAGGACGATGCGGATTGCTGTTCCGGGCACGATTCGGTCGAGTTGACGTCGTACAGATCGTAGACTTTGCCGCGGACGACGGACGATGGCGATGTCGCCATCTTCACTAACACGAGACACGAAATCACGACACGAACGAGTTGCCGCGGCATCAGGCATTATGGATATAAAGTTGATTGCAATCTCCACTTAACAACTACCGCGGGGAGGTTGAAGAAGTTCCTGCCATCAAAGAAGAGAACGTAGTCCGTGACCATGCAACACCCTTCCTGAACGTCCATTCCCGATCCGCCAAACTGGAAACCCATGACGATCAGAGCAACAGAGTCTTGACGTCGTTTATTTGTGCTGAGCGAGGCCGTGTTAGCAAAACCACCATCCTTGCCGAGGTGGGATGATGCAATGAAAACTTACGGGGCAGCCGGCGCAGGTGCAGTTCTTGCCGCAGTGGCAGGTACCGGTGGAAGCGCATCCGCAGCCAGACATGTTGATTGTGTGGTAACGTCCTTGAAGGTGACTTGATAGGTTTTGTGTTTGCTTGATGTTGACCGGAGTCTTTGGTTTGCTTGAGTGTGTGTGAGGTTGATGAATGGAAGAAACAGAGGGGAGAGGTGGCCGTGATCTGGGTGGTTTAAGTAATGCCACTGATTATCTAAGAGACACCGACTTGCTCCTGCTTCTGTTGCTGCTGACTTGCCATCTGAGAGAGAGGAAGGAGCCGGGCGCCCTCTGTTGCGCTCTTGCCCCTTCCCCTCCTGCTTGAGAGAGACGGCTCCTGCCAAACACGCCCGCCACATGTTCTCCAAGGGAAGCGCTAGTCAGCCGCCCAGTGAGCAGCTGGTAATGCTAGCTCCCACGCCGTCGAGGGCTAGAAGGAAGGTCCTGCCTCCTGTGCTTGCCTTTGCCTGCGTCTCTCTTTCCCACACGCAGCAGGTAAGTTAGGTAACAGCAGGTCGGTAACAGCAGTCGGGAACCCCCCGCTCCTGCCCGCTCCCGACCTTTCCCACCAAGCAGACGGTTCGGAAAGAAAGAACAAAGTGGCGAATGACGTGCAGCCGCGACTGAGCTGGAGGCTAGGATTCATCGTCACCCGCAGCACACTGTGCCCATTCATCACAAGGTCAAACCCGACTTCTCCCCTTCAACATCAAACCGCCCCCCTCACACTCCCAACCACCGTGCCACCGAACCACGCAAACGAACTGTCAAATGCCCCGGCGATTCAACATCCCCACTTTCCCACCGACAACGATACAGAGCTGATCGGGCCGGACTAATCAGACCGGGGTGGGTTCTGGCACTCTTCCTTTGCTGTTCGGCCCCCTGCCCCTCCCCCTGCTGGCTGCCATTTTGGGAAAGACTCGGCGTCTCGGCCAATGAGAAGGCGGGGTTGAATCTGAGTTCAGCCAGCGCAACGCCTTTCATTCTTTTGAAGAACTGCAAGTGCGGGGGAGGGGTCGGGTGCGGTCAGGCAGGAGGGATTTGCTTCTGCTTTGCTTCTCTCTTTCACAGATACCCGCCAGCTCGCTCGACGGAAGATCAGGGGTCCTCCCTTGACCACGGCGAACCTTGCGGCTGCGAGATCCGATCGCCATTGGGCCAATATCAGATAAACGTTTCACAAGCCGTCAAAATGACATACATATGGCAGTTTGGTCCCCAACGTAAAACCTGCCATCACGAGGGGAGAGGAGGAAACTCTGGCTAAGGCGGCACGAACAATAGAAAACAAAACAAAGCTTCGAGTTCGGATCATCTCGCACGCTCTCGGGAAGACAGGCCCGATAGCGAAAGTTGGGCAGCGCGCCCTCGGACAGTTGGCCCGTGTCTCTCGTACGGTACGGTTGGTGGCTGCTACGAGTCTGGTCATGTGCAACGTCTCTGGGATGAACGCCAGCCAACCTCTGCAGCGCCCCGTACATGATCGGCTGCGGTCTAGATATGCAGTTCGAACCCGTCGAAGGAAAAAAGAGCACCGTTCGCGGCGCCGTGCAGCATGCAGGTGTGCGTCATCCGACAAGTGGCGCCGATCAAGACGCTCCGGCGGGGTCTCTCAGGGCTTAGAGCTGACTTTGCAGAATTGCTACCCGTGGCTACCACGTAGCATCTCCTTTGGCGTTGAACGATATTGTCCACGTGAGAACATCTTGCCGAGTGTTTTCCTATCTGGCGCACGGAAAGCAATTCCACCCGGGTTACGAAGAGTCCGAGGTGCTCGCGATTGGGTGGTTCATTATCCTTATCAGCGGGCGCAGTTGAGGATCGCACTTGATCTGCCGGCGCCGGCTAGATATAATCGCCTATGCTTGCCTTGTGATGTTACTTGGAGGGGGCGTGGTCACGCTCTTGACGTAGGCATCTGAGGCTTTCCGGAAGTTGAGGAGCGGTGTGCGCGGTATACTCTGTGATGTGGTCATTTGGTTGGTTCGCGAGAGTCGGTCATCCGGTACCTACTGTCATCTACACATGGAATAGACAGACGAAGCTTAACACTCGTAACCCCGAGACACGCTTGATACGTATTCTGGGCTGGCTTTCGAGATGGTGTCAGTAGGGACGTTGATTCTAGGACTTGCTACTTGGGCAGAACAACTCTGTTGATGTTAACCGTCACTATGGCGGAACCTGCCCTCATTGAGAATTCTCCGGAGCCGATTTACTAGACTTAACGGTCAATTTTGCCTACCGTTTGAACTCAACATCAAGCGGCTCGATTCCCCAAGTTGTTATGAGGACTGAGTATGCCCGCGACACCCCAAAGCCCAGGGGGAGATATGGTTGTGTGGATGTAAGATCGACGGAGCTGACTTTAGTCAGATATATAGCGATTCAAAGCTCTTGATGATGATTCGGACGAAGGCAGACACATGGTAGAACTAACGAGGCACTTGGGTGAAATGGAAAGGGTGGACCAAAGTCACGAGGCTATGACGGTCCTAACATGATAATCCCCCACGCCGCCGAGCCAATAAGCCAAGAACCAACGTAAAAGCGATCGCATGACGCAAATCAAGTTGCAGCAAGGCGTTCTGGGGAGCACACACGCTATTGTAAACTTGCGGGTAGACATAATATTCCCAATCTACCCTGCATTTAACGGACGTGTGGCTGTACAGAGGAGAGATATCGCTATGCAGGCGGAGACTTCTGATTGCCGAAGGAACGGCTAAGGCGACATGGACAATAAACATGATACTAGGGATAGATACAAGGACGATGGTAAACGTAGGTAGCACTTTGCCCGGGGAGCTAGAGGTGAGCACCCATTGGCGTGGCTATGATATACCGGCAGCATTCCTGAGAACGACACCAGTCATCGCGCCAGAGACGTGCCGCATTTGAGGCTACTCCCGGCTTCCACCGTCGATATGTATGTTCACGGAAAACCGTGCGACATTCCGAGGACGCGCCGCCACTTGAGTTCCATCTGTAGGCGTGTTGGGCTGGGGGGTGTTTCTGTCATCCTCGAGAGGGACTTTCGTCGTGGGGTCTTTGGGACCGCAACACCAATACTGTGAAATATTCGGCAGCCGCATCTCACATACTTAGTTCCGGAAGGGACCGTCTCAGCCTAGACGGAGATTCCAATAGGCCGAGCCGCGGGGCCAACAGCATTTCTGTTTAATATCTCTTTGTACGTCTCGTCTCAGAGCATCTGGATGGCCCTCACGCAAGGCTCTATTTTATGCTCTCGTAGCCGGAAGGCCTTGTTTCCATCCTGTGCTCGCCAAGCACGAGCTCTTGATTCCAGACCGGAAGGGTGCGTTTAGTCGCTGTTATATCAAAGACATACACCCGTGGAAATCGCACCAAAACTACCTTTATTCCCGTGAAACCTGGGAAGCTATATGTAAGTTGCCTGATAGCAGAAGCCGCAAACAGATCAGGCAGCAAAGCGCGTCAAACTGGCTTGCTGGCTGGTGGAGATGGCCTCATGTGGTTTAGTCGGATCGATAGTCGGGTTCGTGTTACGACGCAGTGTTACGCGGCCCAACGTCCACTCATATCATCTACATGCAGGTGAGGGGAATGATGACCTGATTGAGGCTCTGGAGCGGCAGGTAACACAATCAAATCTGGACTAAACCAACTTCATGTCCGTTGCTGGTGGGTTTGGTTGTGTTTGTGGACTCCTTCTTTCGATGAATGCAAGACGCGTGGGCATAAATCACCCCAGCGCATGTCCCCCAGAGAAACCATTATTATGTGCTCTTTATCGCTGATGTAGACACCTACCGAGAGTCACGGAGGTCGCGGCATGTTCACTGGGGCATTTCATGTTTTTGACACAATGTTTTTGAAATGGTGCTTTGTTTTAAAACAAATTGGTATATGATTTCAAAATAACAGGACCCTTTTTCCCGTCCCATATTATACAAAAGTCAGGTAGTTTTCGTCGTGGACACAGGTAACCCATAGAACCCATAAAAATGTAGAATCTAATACACACACAATTCTCGATCGCATCTTGTCTCCTCTAAAACAGACCAGCAAGCGCAACAAGGACACCGCCAAACAGCGCGCTGCCAGCGACGGCCTGGACGTTGGCCGCGCCCGTGGCGCTCGCGCTCGCCGCAGCGCCGGACTGTGTCGCCGTGGGCGCGACGGTGGGCTGCATCGTCGTTCCTCCTGTGGTGGTTCCATTCTTCAGCGGGCCGGACGAAGCGGAGGCGGCGGGGAGTCCAGAGGAGGCCGTCACGGAGACGGAGCCGGAGGCAGAGGAGGGAGAAGAAGAAGAGTTGTTACCTGAGGAGGTGTCGTTCTGGCCCGAGTTGGTGCTGTCGCCGGCGGCGGAGGCGGCGCCGAGGACGATGCTGTCGTAGCTGCCGCTCTTATCGCCGTAGGTGTAGCTGCCGGCGGGGTTGGCGTTGGTGATGGAGACGGACTGGACGGTCATGGTGTAGGGGGCCTTGGTGTAGTCGGTCTCGCCGCCGGCCCAGGTGATGGTGCCGGCGCTGTTGTCCGGGTCGCCGCCGGCCCAGATGCCGAGGCGCAGACGGGCGGGGGTCTGGGGGAAGTTCTGGCCGCCGAGGGCGTCGGCGTAGTTGAGGGTGCGGACGAGG